TTATTGCTTTTCATTCATTCATCCCTCCGCCAAACTTTGGGAAAGCCCTGTGCCAGGCATATTGTGCTAGGTCCCGGGGATATAGAGATAAGGGTGTAGGGCTATGGGTCTGCCCTACTTAGATGGTAACACACCTACTGGCCCAGCTGCCAGTGAGCCAGGCTGGAAAGAGTCAAGGATGAGACTCTTACCTGATGAAGAGGCAATGGGAGAAACTGTGCAGGAGTTCAGGGCATGCAGGTTCACTCAGAGACCTCAGCATACTAATGTGAGTAATCAAGGGAGACTGATCCTTTACCCTAGGTTTGTGTTTTGTTTTTTTTATTTTATTTTATTTTTTTTTTATGTTTTATTTATTTTTGAGACAGTGACAGAGCATGAACGGGGGAGGGGCAGAGAGAGAGGGAGACACAGAATCGGAAGCAGGCTCCAGGCTCTGAGCCATCCGCCCAGAGCCCGACGCCCACAGCCCATCTCACGGACCGCGAGATCATGACCTGAGCCGAAGTCGGACGCTTAACCGACTGAGCCACCCAAGCACCCCTACCCTAGGTTTTTTAAGGTCCCTGGTGAGAATGACCATCAGAGTCCCTCGTCTTTTACATAAGGCCTCTGCCTAAGTCATCTTTTGAAGAAAAGATTTCATGACAAAAAAAATAGTTTGAAAAAGTATACATCGGTCCCATATTAGGGAGGTAAGGAACAGTCAGACGTTTATGGGCTTTTTGTACTTGTTGAAGTGTTTAGATGTTTCCTAAAAGGGATAGGAGAGTGAAATTGTCCTAGTGAGACCCTGGACATAGAGCCCTGGGAAGGAGGTGATTGCAAATATTCACATAGGAGACACGTGGCTGGGGGGGGGGGGGCAGTGGCAGTGAATATATGGAAGGCATGAATTCCAGATCCAAGTGGCAGGATGTCATGATTGATTTGACGTAGGGTCAAAAGAGGCCGTTTAGAAGAATGCCAAGGTTTGGGGCTGATAGGTTGCCATTCACCTAAAAAAGGAAAACAGTAGGTTTGCAGGGGAACTATGACAAATCCAACTTGCAGCACATTGAGTTTCAGATGCTATATGGAACAACCAGCTAGAAATGGCCAATAGGTAATTGATACGTGGGCCCAGAGTTGGGATCTAAGATCTAGCAGAAGGGAGCGGCGTGAAGGTTGAAGCCGTGAGTGTGCTGGGGTCTGTGAGGCAGGCACCCACAGTGAGCAATAGATAAAAACAGTCCCAGGGACCCACATCATTGAAGGGATAGATGATGGATACTCAGATTCTAGAAAGATGCCCAAAAAATATTGATGGTGTTATAGGCACCGGGAAAAGAAATGTCAAGAAGATATTGAACTACAGTGGCAAGTGCCACAGAGGGTCAAGTTCAAAAAAAAAAAAAAAAAGAAAGAAAGAAAGAAACATTTGGCAACAATGTTTACTTAAATGACATGTTTCTTTGAAGTGATACAACAAAAAATGGTTTTACAAAAGCAACTATTTTATAACTACAGCTTTGGAATTTGTTATTGCAAAGCACAAGAAAAGATTAAGCCAAAGATGTGGTGATTTTAATGTCTCAGTTTTGGTCTAAAAAAATGTGGGTTTTTTTCTTCCTCTAAATATGCCAAAATAAGCCATCAAGCTATGACTAATTTATTAACTGTTCAGTGTTAGCTTTTGTCACATTTGACTTGTTTCAGACATATTTGAAAAATGTGAACGTATTAAAAGATTCTTATGAAGTGAAATTTAACCTCAATATGAGGACGCCAGTGTAAGCAAATCTATGAACGCAGTTATCTATTTGCCCTTCTGGTAGTTTCCTTTTAGGTAAACCACTTTGGGTGAGGTGGCTCTGCACCCTGACAGCTCTGACCGTAAGCAGATCACAACACTGCTGCTACTCCATTTCCCTGTCCCTAAAATCAAAAGTGGGTATGTTCTAGAGTTCTCCCCTTCAAACTGTAGACCGTGATACATGAGTGAGCCAGGAAGTGGGAAATTATCAGAGTGCACTACTCCACATAGCAAGTAACGTCTTGTTTTGACAAATTTACATTAAAGCTCTTTGGGAGAGAGGGAAAAGAAGGAGGGATGATGGGGGGCGGGGGGAGAGAGGAAGAAAGAGAATGTGTGTGTGTGTGTGTGTGTGTGTGAGAGAGAGAGAGAGAGAGAGAGTACTAGCTCATCCTGTAAAATGTATTTTTAACTACAGACTGTGGTTTTAAATTTTTTGAAAAACACTGCCCTCAACTAGAGCCCCTTCCTATTCTAAAAATCTCTCATTCCAGTTGTCTGCCCAGTTGCTCTCTTGACGTAGTAAATGTTTGAGGACAGTACTGTGGAGTGGCAGGTATAAAAACTGTTAAGGAATGACCGCTAATAACAAAGGAGAAAGACATTAAAAGGTAAATAAGGCCAACATCTGTGTTGTATTTGACCACAAGACTGAAAAGCCTTTAAAATTTATTGGTATTCCGACTAGCAAGTCATTACTGTAATTTATGAAGTAAAGTTAAAATATGCTGTATATTAACAAACAATGGAGTAATTCTTTTGATGGTGGTATAATATGCAACCATATCGAGGAGAAATAAGGCTTTTTCAAAAGTAACAATACCGGCACATAAATTCCCGGATTGGCAATTAAATAAATGTGGTGAGTCTCTTCCATCTTGCCACATAAAAAGATTCATGGACATGGTTATGAGACAAGTCAGTGTATTTTTATTGGCCTGAACTAGAGGGAGTAAACACCTTGGTCAGGTGTTTTGTTTTAGAAGCAGCTGTTTGAACTTCTCCTACTGGTTATGTCTGCTCTAGGGTATATTTGAGCATTTGCTTTTTCCAGCGCACTTACTGATTTAGAATTCAAGTGAGTGAACAATTTCCTATAAAACTAAGATTCAATGGAAGTTTCTCTATACTTGTGGGTAAACTTTTAAATTCGTCTGCAGCCTCCGGAATTTCATAGACTTTAGGTGGTATTAAACAGGGACAGTTTAAAGAATGCTGAGGAGTATGAATCATCAAACCGGAAATCTGAGGGACGTGTTTTTATTTGTCCTTCCCTACGCAGCTCTTAGACATTCCGTTGGTCTCTCTTTCTTCTCTGCCCTGTTACAAACCCTGGGGTGTTTGCTTTGCCCCTTTGCCAATCTAACCCCTGACTCTTGGCAGTACTGTGCTCTCTGCCTCCTTCCCACTGTCAGTCAGCCGGCGGAGAAGGCCTGGGGAAGAGAGCAATTGAGACCAGCGAGGTCATCCTGCCATATTTTCCCAGACCCTTCGCTGTCGGTCCTCTGGGACTCCTGAAAGGTAGACTGATGGAGGGGGCATGGTGGAAGCAGTGCTAGCAGAGTGGGTGGGGTGGGGCGGTGTTGACTCCACCTCCCTGGCCATAGCTGATTGGCCTGTGGCAGGCAGCCTTTGAGTCCCCGCCCCATCCCTCCATCCCAGGCCCCTGCTCTCTCCACTGTGTGCAAACGCATCCAGCAGTGCCAGATTAAGAGACGAGAATTTTTTTTTTTTTCTGCATGCGAACAACGTGTCTGCCAGTTAGCCATCCAATTTATTAGATGAGCAAAGTAAGGATCGGTGAGGTAAGGGCCCCAAAGTGGGAGAGCAAGGTAAGGCCTGGCCCCTGGGTCTAGGGCTCTTCCTCCAATGCTTGAGGCTCTTTCCCGAAGTGCTTGTAGAGACGGGACTTGAGATAAATACTCAAGAGCGTGGTAGACTATAGAAATATGGGCAGTAGGGAGTAGACCACAGACTTTGGAATGAAGATGCTGTGTTCAGAAGACCGTACAGAAAACGTGCAAGTCTTATGTCAGAGAGTATAGGCACACAAAGTATACCCCAGTACGCAGGTGACATATGTGAAAGCATAATTCTTCTACTTATAATTTCCCTAGTTAAGTGATGATACAGGTGGACTCTGTACTTACTACAGAGGCTTGATGTAACAATGAAACAGGCTATCAGAAATTATTGCTTGAAAACATTTAAAATGTCGTACGTGTAACAGCCAACATTGCTGTTAGAATGCCGGTGAAACCTTCCCAAACTCTCATTACAGCTTTGTAGACTTTGTGGACGTGTTTTCTTCCTTGATTAGTTATGCAAGGTCTTCACCAAGAACCATGTTTTTTCCTGGATGTGATACATTACAAATACAGTGACACCATGAAAACTGCAACTATTTCCACAGCCCCTGAATTCATCTCAGTGCCCATAGATGTCATGCGGATATGGAGTGTATGAGACAGCCTGATCATCAGTAGCACTCAAGGCTTAAGCTTTGCATGTACATTTCAGGATGCTGGTACCTCCCCTCCCCCCCCCCCAACAAGCCGCCCCTGTGCCTTTGGTACGGTCCTGGCTGTCTGGTAACTGGATGGTGTCGCATGAATGTCAGGATCAGCTCTCTGAGCTGGGCATAGTGCCCGGTGCTCAGAGTGGCTATAACTTCCTACTGTGAGTATACCCCAAATTGGCCGACAGCCCCAAAAAATAACAAATAATGATAGTTATCATCTGGAGTAAAATTAGTATTTATCACCCTTCCGAAATTAATCTATTATTGTACCTATTTTCTGGTATTTGTGGCAGACCTGTTAGATACTCTTGGTTTATGGCGTAACATACACGGTGTCTTCTCCAGTCCATGAATTTCTTGCTCCTGACACACACCTGTGAAGATAAATTTCCTCTACTCTATATGCCTAAGTAACCCTGGATTTTATATTGTAATATTTGAAGCAGCAAATTATCTCTTCATTATGCAAAGTACCAATAGCATTGGGGTCACTTGTTAAATAAGATAAGTCACTGAAGTTTGCACACAGAGTGGATCACGTCCACCAGGAGCAGCTGGAGGCCAACCCTCCCCGATGAGTCCCTTGCTCTTGGCCCTTCCTTGCACTGACTCCCTCTTCTTGTGACACTGCATTCCATGAACCTGAAGTACATATGTTCTTGACCTGAAAAATTCTTCTTTTAGGATCCACCTACATCAGTTTCCCTTGGACTGCGCATGGAAGAAATGATTTTCAACTTGGCAGACACACATCTATTTTTCAACGACTTAGAAGTAAGTTCTGATTATTGTATACACACTTCATGTTGCGTGCCTGGAAGTCGGTGAGTGGTCTTGCAATAACAGTGAGATATTTTGCGACTATCTAACGGAAATAATGAGATTCCATTCATTACTGATTATGTGGTAATATGGTTGCCTTCATGGTATTTCTGTTTTGCTTTACTTGGGCTGTTGCGTTTCAAGGTTAGATTCCATGTGACCCTTGGTAAGGATTAAAACTTGATGTCAAAACTCTTAAATATTAAACTGTGTTGATATCCTATGCTACAGATTTCTCAGCTACGTAATTACCACTGAGACGGGTTACCTTCAGAATCCAACAGAAGGAGCAACACTGGCCTACCCTCTCCTTGTCAGCCTCTTATCCTATGGAGTCCTATGGTTTTCTATGATTTCTATGTCGTCCTCTTATCCTATGGAATCCTATGGTTTTCTTTCCGGTTGGCCCGATTGTATAATATTTTAGTCAGGCCTCTGCCCTTTGGACTGCCAGGATTTCTTACGTCAAACTGCTGATGATTTTATTTGTCCATTGTAATTTGGGGAGGAACTTCTGTAAGATGGTTAATTAAACTTGTTACAGGCACTGTCTAACATGATGATCTCGATTAGCGGCGTTTTTAAGCCTAGAGAATATTGTTTCTTATATCACCGTTAGGAGAAAACATGACTATGACTACATTTCACCCTCTTCTTAATAGAGACAGTTGTTTATTTAAATCCTGCTGTTAAGCAAGCTTGTGGTAAGGCTGCCAACAGGCATTAATCATCAAGTTGTTGTTTTGGTAGATTTTATAAATGTGTGTTATTTCAGACAGAAGAATCTGAGAGATTCAAATAGAACTTTTACTGATCAAAGTTAATGGGCAGCAATTGGCCTTTAAATATTTCCTGATGTTTCCCTTTTCGAAATCAAGCAAAACACACCTTATTTAATAGATGAGCCAAAATCATTTGAAAAATGCCAGTGTGACAGAACTTAAATGCGGTTTGTTCAACATCTGTCCTGTATTTTGATTTCTTTTCATCTGCAATGAAACTACTCGTAGACGAATTGGCAACTTTCGGTGCAATAAAATTATTTAAATGTGCTTCATTTTTTCCCATTCCTTAGTGAAATATTTATTTTTACACTTATGGTAAAATACAGGTTTTTTTTCACATTTTAAAGTATTTGCTTTTCTTAAGGAAATTACATGTAAGGCATTACTATTTTTTAAGGTAGAAATATTCCCAGTGAGTGACAAGTTCAGAGTTGCCTTTAGAAGAGCTTAATAATCATTCTTATTTTCAAAAGCTGTTTCTGATTTATGGTTGTGATTCACTTCATAAGAGAACAGCACAAAAAATTCCATATTTTACTGGTATATTAAAATTCCTTCCCTAAGTTTCCATTTGTTTCTAATGATACAGACTAGGCTGATATTTTGTCTTGGGTACAACCTTGTTACTCTTACCGATGTTAATAGGTGTTAATAGCACCCATCAAGAAGAAATTAGCAGCAATTTGCTATTGCCTTCAAATTTTACCTTCTTACAAATGCCAAAGCTTGTCTATGCAGTGGCAAAACTATTGTGGTGAAAAGTGAGAGGTTAGCCAAAGCAATAATTCGGTATCATATAGACCAAAAACTTCCAAACTTGGTTTTGATATAACAGCTGGATTTTCATTTGTTTACTGACATTATTCACAGTGAACTAACTGTATACAGAGTATCTAAAATAGCGCTCAAATCCATGGAAAGTACATCTTGAAAGTTCTAGTTTAGAGATGTAGGGGATATAGTTTTACCATAAGCCCAAACTGAAATAAAAAGAAAATGATGAACTGGGGGTCGATGCAGACATTAAAATGTCTGATTCTGTTCTTGGCGTAAGGACTTTCCCTTATGTAAAGTGGAGAAGGAAATAAAGATATAATTCAACCAAATATACAAAGCAACAGTAGAAAAATGAAGCTTACAACCTTACAAAACTTAGCTTTAAGTTATTTTACTTAAGAGTAATATAAAGGTATCAACAAAAGTATAAATCAAAGATCCATTTAACCTCCGTCTTTGAAAATTGTTTACTTGCTCTAGATTTGCACAATATTTCAAAAATAAATTGGTTCTTAAACTCATTTCAGTATTTCATTTTATATTTTGGTAATTCAGACCTGGGGCTGGTCATTGCAAATACTAGTTTCTTTCAAAATAAAAAGCAGAGTTATTTCCTGGGAAAAATAAATGTATTGGCATTCTATTTCCAAGAAAACCAAAATTATCTCATCAGGCAGAAATGGTGTGGAAATGCCTAATTTCACACTCTAATGAGCAATGTGGTGCAGTAAGAGACGTGGATATTTTAATATATTTAAATTACATGTTTTTAACATTCTAAGATCTCTGATACAGGTAATTTCAAGGAGATTAAGGATCTATTGTTTAGCTGGAAGTGTGATTTCCGAACTCCAATTGTTGACATTTGGCCTCATTTTCTTTTAAAAAGTTAACTTTTGTGCCAGCCACCCCTCTGTATAATTTGATTTGTTCACAGTTTTGGCTTATAAGAGATTCTGAATAACGAAACACACTTGTGAGAGGCTTCTAGTAACAGTTTTTGTGTTATCAGAGTATATGTTTCAAATCGTTCTGGAGATACTAGCAAATTTTAGGATATCATTTTAAAGTAATTTAGAAATGCCTTAATTGTACTTTAAGAACTAAAACAGTTAATCATTTTAGTTTTAAAAGTCTTGTGTGTCAGCTCATTTTGTGACAATTTTTAATAAAAGCAGTCACAATTTAAATTAATTGTGTTGACACTCCGGAGCAGGGTGGGGGGGAGGGCAGGGAATTAAATGGAGAAATTTTGTGGGTTTTGTTTTGTTTTGTTTGTTTTTTGGTACCATTGAAAAATATTTGACATGTTAAGGAACATGAGTGACAGGGAGACGTAATTTTCAAAGGAAATAATATCCCCCCCACCCCCCACTCCCAGAGAAGGGTTTAAACTTTACTTCCATAGTGTACTCTGGCTTTCCTATTTCTAAGACTATTTAACATCCCGCGTATCATTTTACCAAAGGGTCTCCGCGTGCAATGTGATGATGCTTATATGGAAGTCATTTTTTATGAGTGACGGTATGGAACTAGAGGTGTTTTTTTTGTTTTTGTTTTTTTTCTTCAGCTTCTTTAGCAAAGTATGACTCCGAGTGAATGGAGAAAGAGTTCTTTCTGTTGGGTTTTTATTGAAAGGCAACCTGCAGGCAGAGTGAGGAAAGGCCTTTCGTGTACGATAACGTTTCAGTTTAACTTGCTGTTGGTCAGTTCTCCCGCTAGATTTTTTTTCCACAGTCAGGGAGGCTATTTCATCAAGATGGATATAAGTCAACTAAAAATAAGGTGTAAGCCTATGTTGAACTTGCTCTCTGTCGGGTGTCAAGTTGTATCACTGAGCTGGCATTACGGTTGCCATCCTAACTGGTGCTGGTGACGTAGTGGCCTTCACGGGCCTCTGCTCCCAGAGCACACTCCCTGACTGCAGGGATCAGGGTTGGGAAATAGCAGGAACGCTCCTCATCCTTCTGTCTTCACGTGAAGGGGTTGTATACACCACACTTATCTAGTTAAGTGTGGGGCTCCATTGGAGCATTCTCCCTCTCCTAGTGTGTTGCATAGTTGAGACAGACCAGAGGATTCCTTAGTGTCAGGATTCACATGAATGCCTCCGTCCTTTCTTGAGTCTTTGCCATGTAGACTCCTGTCCTAGATCTGTCGTTTAAGTACCTGCTTCTGGTACCCCTTTGTTTTTACCTTTTCTACAAAGAAAAGGCTTGGGATAGGGGTGGCTGGGTGGCTTGGTCGGTTAAGTGACCGACTTCGGCTCAGGTCATGATCTCGCGGTCCGTGAGTTCGAGCCCCGAGTCGGGTTCTGTGCTGACAGCTCAGAGCCTGGAGCCCGCTTCAGATTCTGTGTCTCCCTCTCTCTCTGCCCCTCCCCTGTTCATGCTCTGTCTCTCTGTGTCTCAAAAAAATAAATAAACATTAAAAAAAAATTAAGGAAAGGCTTGGGATAGAAAGTTCCGGTCTCCGAAGAGGCAAGCCTGGGTTTGGTGAGGCAAAGGTTGTGGAAGGCTGCTGAAAACAGTCTCTAAATAATGCTGTGCTTAAAGGAAGGGAGTTGTAATGATTTTTCTTATAAAGCAAAGAAATTAGTTTGCCCCTTGGTTTCATTCAGTCTTTAAATTTGTAATAATACTTTATGACTCTAACCCTTAGGGTATCATCTGTTAATTATTTTAGTATATGGTATTTATAAATTTGTATTTACCTACGAAAAAAATCTTTCTTCAAAGTATCAACCATGCCAATGCTCAATAGCTTCGATTCCACGTGACGTGTTTTGTAGTGACCTAATGCCTGTGTTGCCAAAAGTGTAAAATTTTAGCTAATTCAGAGGTTGACTTTTTTGAGTTGAAAAATATAATTCACCTGGAAAGGGCCTTATTCTCTATAAATAAGTAGGAAAGGAACTCTTGTGCCCAGAGTCCAGCTTTTGTGGTGGGTGCTGGAAATTCTGGTTCTCTGCTGCTGCCTGAGAAAGCATCTCACGGGTGCTTCCAGAGAGGACGCTTCGAGAAGAGCTTTGAGCTGTTCTCTGTTTTCAGTCCCTTCCACAAGCCAAGAGCAACTGTATGAAAATGTACGTGCATATCAGTATTATATTCCAAATGTACCCATACACATATACACATATGGCATGTTTTCAGCTCTGTACAGAGGCTTTTGTGCTCTTATTTGCTCCTTATACATTTGGCAAACATAAAGTATCATATTTTTTTAAACTCCTGGTAACATCTTTCATAGCAACCAGAATATCGCCTTCAACGTTTTGACCATTAAATGACTTAGATTGAATTCTTATCTGTTATCTTAGAATAGAATCCATTTCTATTTCCTCCCCCATGGAAGAGAGTGGAGAGTTGACTTTGCCTTCTTTGTCTTTAT